TATTGAGGATGTTACACAGTTGGTTTAATCGAAGAAATCAATTTAGAGGAACCCACACTTTGAAAAATCAGGTCCTCGAGCTAACGATGTTAAACAAAAGCGTTTGATGGGAGGCAACCCATTTCGTTTTATTTTCATTTTATTTATTTTATTTTATCAGATGCTTAATTTTATTTTATTTTTCTCTGAACATATTCAAATTCTGATATGACCATGACCATGGCTGCGGTCGCCACTAGATTGGGGAGTATTTCTTTTCCCTCTCTTTGATTTTAAATTTGATATACGTTTTGGGACAAAACGGAATAAGTGAGGGGGGAGGATAAGCATGTGTCAAAATTTTTATTGACTTGTTTAATTGTTTGAAATTGAGTTATTCTGATGTTGATATGTTGGGATCGTTGGTCGCTAGTCTTGAATTTCGCTTTATACTCTTGCTTCCTTTTGGATTATGACCATGTTTTTTATCGAATTTAATTTGCATGATTGGTGATTGATATAGCTAGTAAATTTTTGTTGAGTATTGATATCTCATGCTTTTATCGATAGAGATGAACTTGACTCAATGCATATAAACTTTTCTTGTGAGATTTGAGCCTAAGGAGCATACATTTTCTTTCTTGCTCATTGTTTGACTTGTGTGTGCCGAACTAATTAGGATATTCTAGAACTTGTAATCACAATGCATATCGAGACTACATGTTGAACGTAATGTTTTAATGTGATAGGGGCACCTAGGATAAACCCACTCTTCCCAAAAACCCTACCCATTTATATATCCACTAGTGAACCACATTTGAGTCTATTTCCCTTTCTTTGTTTTACACCTCATAATTAAACCCGAAGCCTTTCTTTTTATTTTTCCTCTCTTTTCACACCCTTAATGAGACTTGAGATCTTGTATCATTGTTGTTCCACAAAAAACAAAATTCAATGTTTCAAAAAAAATAAAAAAAACAAAAAAAAATAGAAGAAGGAAAAAAATCCTTTGTTCGAGAAAAAAATGAAGGAAAATCGATCTCTTCAATTGTCTTTCATCTATTCTTTTTCCTTATTTTGTTCTTCATTGCACTTCATGTTAATTCGTGGATTGTTCTTAATTATTTTGATCTCTTGTTTTGGTATTTTAAACCTTTCTTTTCGGCGTTTTCCCTACCCTAACCTAAGCCCCGTTACACCTTGTTTAAAGACCCCTTGATTATTGCATTATGTTCATTTTTCATAGTGGAGACTTGATTGATTCCAGGCCTATGGTAATATTTTGGTTAGTTTCGGTTTGAGCAATTTCATTTACCCCAAACACTTTGAGTTGATATGTGTGAATCTTTGTGAGGTATTGAGTCATGTTTCATTGAAGTTGGCAATTAATTGTGATATCTTGCTTACTTTAAATTTTCTTGGTTGTATCTTTGCTTGATTGTAACTTGAATTCGACAAATATCATGGACTTAGTTTGATTGGAAGTTTGAGGAATAAATTGAAATTGAAGATTACAACTTATGATTTTAATATGTTAATTGAGGAATGCTTGAGGACAAGCATTGAATAAGTGAGGGGAAATTTGATAAGTGTTTATTTTAGTTAATATTTTACTTTTAAATTACTCTTTAATCATTGATTTTTGTGTCTTATTTTTTTATTTTAATTCATTTTCTGTGCAGGACGTAAGATTCTGAAAATTGCACAAAAATGACATCATTCTGCAGTTCTTTTATTTTCGGAATCAAAGCTGGATGGAATTCGGATTTGAATTAAACTCAAGTTTAGGATAATATTTAAACATTATATTTTATCTTTATATTTTATCTTTGTATTTTAGTTTAAATTGGTTTTTAGTATTTTTAATTAAGTTTTAGGATATTATTTTTATGTTTTATCTTTGTTTTAGGTATTTTAGTTGAAATAGGTTTTAGTGTTTTAATTAGGATTTAGAATATTATATTATTTTCTTATGTATTTTAGTTTAAATAGTTTTAAGTGTTTTAATTAGGATTTAAGATGTTTATAGTTTATTTTTAGGATTTTGAAGGCTATAAATACCCTCTAAGGGTGAGCCTAGAAATATATCTCTCTCATTTGATAATAAAATCTTCCTTTTCTCTCTAGCTTTCTCTCTATTTTTCCCATACTTTTCTATTGTGCTAAGTATGACTTTGGTTATGCTTAGCTAATTTTCTTTCAAGCCGAAGGCTAAAGCGAAGGCTCAATTCCAAAGTGAGAATTGTAAGGTACTTAAATCGCTTCAGATTTTCTCTCTGTTTTCTGAGCTTACTTTTCAGGTCAAAACGATTTCGACATTGATTCAGATATTGTTATGGTTAACGTTTGAAGAAGGATTTGCTTATTGAAGCATATTCAACTTCCCGAGAACACACTTAGCAAAATTGTTTGCTAAGAGGAATCTGAGATCGGAATCAGTTGTTATTGAAACTATACAATCCTAGTTGGCAGCGAAGAATTGTTCTTGCAGTAACCGACGTGAATCTTGAAGTAAAAAATCTGTTTCGATGATCCGAGGAATTTGAGGCGAAGCTGAAGTCTAAGCTGCTTTCACAATAAGTTTCTCTTTATCTCAATCTCTTTAATTTGTTTATTTAATTATTTTTCTTTTATTTAACTATTATTTTTATTTTAAAAACAGCTTTTAAAAATCCCCTTTTATAATTATTACTATTAATATTTATTATTATATTATTTCCCTTTTTTATTTATTTTATTTTAATATATCTTTTCAACTTCATCTGGAATTCTATCTTTTTCTAAAATCAAGAAAAAGTTTTATTAAATCAGAAACATCACAGTCCCTGTGGATCGACCCTGTTTCTCTATACTACCTTTTCCTTTTTATTTATTAAGAAGACATGAATTATTTTGATAGTAAAACGACGGTTATCAATCGTCGTCTGAGTTGGATTTTAACATGCTAATATGATAATTATTAACATTTTGGGATAGGATTTTATCATATCTCAGTCAGCAGGTTAATGTCCAACTCAAATTGTTGTTAATTTTTTAACGAAAAAGAACGAGTTTGGAACATATGAAAAGTCGGGTGACTATTTTATAATTTTTAATAATCAGAGACTCAACAAAGCAATGTCCAATACTCGGAAGATTGTTTTATAACTTTTAATAGTCGATGGACTCAATAAAATTGTATTATATAATCAGGGGACCGTTTGTATACTTTACCCTATTAATTTATACAAAGATCGTATATAATTTTTTTCTTTTTGATAATACAAAAGCCAACTACAATATCGTATATAAAATTTATACACTGTCGATACATCAATTATAAGTCATTCAAAAATATCAATAATCAAAGCCGAAATACATATCCTGATTGAGCCTGGGACCTTATCTTTCCACAGACCATCTCCCTCGCAGACAGTGGGGTGATTATACCTTCGTCATTGAAGAGTAGGGTGTGAGTGATGATGGTTTATAAATTATATATATTTTCTTTTGGACGAAGTATATAAACCATCTCCCGATTATATGGTATTATTTTATTCTCTTAATCAGTAAAATTATAAAGTGATTTTTCGATTATAAGACGTTATTTTGTTGAGTTTTTCGACTATTAAAATTTATAAAATGGTCATCCAATTATTCATATGTGATATGTTTCAAACTCGTCATTTTCATAAAAGTTGGTGGACGTCTGAGCTGTACGTTAACTTGTTAATTGAGATTTGATAAAATCTGATCTCGGAATCGTTTGAGTTGTATTTTGTGGATCAACTCTCCATTTGCATTATGTCATTGAGTCCGTGCTTGAAACATTATGTCATCGAGTCAATGTTTGCAAACAACGACAATATCAGTAGACATAATTAAAATATTATTTTATTATATCTCAGCCAATAGGTTGACGTCTAGCTCAGACGTCCCTCAATTTTTTTAATGAAAAATAATGAGTTTATAATTTTTAATAGTCGATGAACTCAACAAAACAACGTTCTATAATCAGATGACCATTTGTGTACTTTACCTTTTTCAAAAAAAAATATTGGTGAATATGATATTCTTAGGCGCCGATGATACCATCGGTTAATATGTGTTACGTGATAATTATGTATCTCCAACATGTACAATAAGAATATAAAGTTCTTAGAGAAAATTAGAAAAGTTTTAAATTTTAGAGGATATTAAAGGGAAAGTATTAATTTCGAAGATTGAACGATATTATTTTTAAAAACATTGATTACCGTGCGATACAATTAAACTTTAATTTTATTTCTATTAATTAATTTCGAATCAGTCCAAATCTTTGATAGAGAAATAGTTTGATGTTATGCTTGAACTGATGTATTGTTGAACGTTTTTTAGTGTATTGAAAACGCCAAAATGCATATCTTGATTGAGCCTGGGGCGTTATCTTTCCAACTATACATGGTCTCGTATTTATATTTAAATTGAACAATAATTCTATATGGGCATAATCTGTGTAAAAGCGACAAAAAAATAATACAAAACAAAGAATAATTGAGGCCAAGGGTTTCGAGGGAAACTGATATTTTTCGAGGAAACAAATATTATATTCGTGTTTATAGGCGAAAAGGAGTAAATTAGAAATTTTAGATTTAATGGTCGTCGACAATAACGATCAGCAGTGATAGGCTACTGTGGTAAGATGTCAAATTTGATTAGATTATTAGCTTAAATTGATATTTTATCTATATTTTAAGAGTTAAATTGATAATTAATCCCTTTTTACTAACGAGCACATTTTTAAACTAACGGCGTTTAACATCTCAAGGACCAAAATGTTATATATCGATAACGTAAGTGACTAAAAATTTATAAACTGATAACGTAAGTGACAAAAATATTACTTTTTCTAATTCAATAAGCAAAAGTGAAAACCTATGAAACTAAAGTGACCATTTCTATAGTTTATTCAAAAATGATTCCTATACAAATCATGATGTGAGTAAAATATTTCAAAATCCATTATTTTTTCTATATATAGAAAGGAAAATTGTTTATCGGCTCCATAAGAGTTGTAGAAGTTGATATCCATATATCAATCTTTAGGTTCATTGCATTAATAAATCATGAAAACCTTCCTTCCTTTCTTTGCATTTCTGTCACTTCTCCTGGTAAGCTGACTTTGCAAACTTGATTAAACAAATGGCAGTTTGGTATTAATAATATAATTTTTTACTATTTATACATATATATATATATATATATATATTGTTAATTTGTATGGTTAATTATACATGTTTTATATGGACGCAGTTTGCAGACACCATTGTAGCAGCTAGGAAAGATGGTGGAGAGTATTGGAGAGCTGTAATGAAAGACCAACCTATGCCTCATGCACTCCAAGGCCTTGTTCAGATCGAGGTCACCTCCGCCGGTTCCGGTGAGCTGAACGAAGAGATTATTATTTCTGAGGATTTTAAACGACCAGTGAGGCCTAATGGAAATGAGAAGAAGTCCACATTTTGTGAAGATCTCGAGCCGAGGCCAAATGCTTTGGCTTACGGGGACGACGAGAATCTAAAAGTGAAGAAATCGTCATCTTTTGCCAAAGATTTCGAGCCGAGGCCAAACCTTTCGGCTTACGGTGGTGATGCTAATCTGAAACGAAAGAGATCATCATCATTTACCGAAGATTTCGAACCGAGACCAAATGTTTCAGCTTACGGAGACGATGGTAATCTTAAAGTAGAAAAAAAATCATTAACTGATGATTTTGAACAGATACCGGACGTCACCATTTATCATGGGTAAAAGTGAACAAGAACATGCTACGTTGTATTGTGTGTTAGAATAAACTTGGAATAATCATCCGATTGGGTGGTGTGCTTTTATGTGAGAAGATCGATGTTATATTCCTGTAATAAAGAAAAAAAATGCATGTTATTATTAAATAATAAAATAAATTATTATTTGATACGCAGACATACTATAAGCCTTGAACCTCGGTTTTGAGCTTCTCGGCTCCACTTACATGAGTTCAAACTTTTCTAACAATAATTATTTGATTTAATGATATCTATAACCCTCAAACTTTTGTAAAAAATCAATATAGTCCCTGAATTTTTTTATTACACAATATACTAATTAAATTAATTTTTTAATAAATTAATATTTTAGTATTTTTATATTTAAAGTATTGAGTTGTAAAATTGAAAAAATGATTTCTGTAAAATAAAAATAAAATTAAGGGAAAATATAAAAACATAAAAAAGATGTTTTCAATGTTTTCCTTAAATTAAAAGTTGGATTAGTAATTAACTACTTCAACCTAAAACATAATGGGAAGCATAAACCCCAGTGGTAACCCTAGTGTGCCGCCTAATGTTCCTCCTTATTCTGGTGGTCGGCCAACGGATAGAACTCCGCTCTTTAATGTTCAGAGTTCTCTTGAGAGGCCAGGTTCTCCGCCTCTTGTTGCTGGTCAGAGAATTCAGAAGAAGGTGAATAATAATGAAGGTATTGGTGATGGGCATTATAATGGTGCCATGGGAAGATTGAGGTTGTGGGGATGGAAGTAGAATCCGTTGGAGGGAGTATCGCTCTGGCTGATAGTGACCCTACGGGTATTCAACAGGCTGGGGTTACTAAAAGTTCTATTGATGATTCCAGTATTGGCAAAGTTACGTATGCAAACATGGTGGCTGGATCGAATATCCAGCGGAAAACTTTGAATTTCGACTGTGATATCAATGACATTGAAGTGGTGGTTCTTGAAGACGATTATGTCATTGATAGATCCGGGGAGTACCCGAGAATCAAATTTTCAAAAAAGGTACTTGAACAAATTGATCGAAATATGAGAAACGTTATAATTGTGCGACTGCTTGGAATGATGATAGGCTATAAAGCTTTGTTGAATCGTATCAATGCTGTTTGGAATCCTATAGGAGAAGTACACTTAACGGACTTAGACAACAACTACTTCCTGGTCAAGTTCACGGAGGAAGAAGACTATGTTAAGGTGCTAATGGAGGGCCATGGACTATTTATGGGAGTTATCTAACCGTTCAACCATGGTCTCGAAGCTGTTCAACTTTGGGGAATCATCTGTCATATGTAATCGTTTGGATTTGCCTCCCGAAGCTACTTTATCGATATTATACTAAAGCCTTATTTCGCTTGATTGCTACGGTGGTGGGCACTATCGTTAAGATTGATTATAATACTCAAATGGGCGAAAGGGGTAAGTTCAAGAGGGATTACACCAAATAAACCTCTTATTGACTTAAATAAACCACTTATCCCATGTATTGGAATTGATGGAGTTAAAAAAAGATTTGAGTATGAGGGATTACACCAAATTTTTTTCAATTGTGGTGTGTATGGTCATGTAAAAGAACAATGCACACAGGGGAAAGATCTTAGTGAACTCGTTGATTCAAATAAAGAAGTTACACCCGTTGTTCGCGAAGAAAGTGTGGAGGAAGGGCTTTATGGCCCCTGGATAGTGATTGCAAATCACAAGAAAAAACCTATTAACAACAACCGGAAGTCCAAAGAGGGTGGAATGGTAAGCGGTTCTAGAGGGTCTCGTTTTGCTGCGTTGGATAACGATGGAAGAGAAGTATGATAGTGTATCTACGAGTGACGGTCAAGTCCTTAAGCTGGTGAAGGAAATGGAGCAGCCAAATCATCATGGCCAAGAGGCATCGATAAATTTAGTGACCCGTTCAGCTGCCTACCTTACTTAGAATCCAGAAAAGAAGAAGAAACAAACTAAAAAGAGAATCGAACAGGTGGAGGTTTTTTCGATGATGGTTGGATAGCATGTGGATGTGATCGAACATGCCATGAGGATTAATGGGAGTAAGCACATTGCTCTGGCAATTAGATAACCTAATATTGGTGTTAAGAATACTGATGGGTTTAAAATTTCTAAAAATCAGGAGGCAATGGGGAAATCAGGGAAGAAAAATTTAGTTAAATAAAAGGTGCTCGGAATAAGAAACAAGTTGAGAATTTAACGAGAAACAAAATGAATGTTATGAGCTGGGTTCAAAATGTTGCATACCAATAATCCATGGATGTCAAAGGGGATCATCAGGTTATAAACCATGCAAGTTCGTCTAAAATGAATGAAGGGGTTTGGTCTCCATTGGTCGGTTTAGCTATTTTGAATGTTAGAAAGGTTGGGGAGTTGGAGGGTACCTAACGCTTGTCACAGTAGTAAGTACTTCCATTTGATTATTTTTGATGACTTGCTTGATTAGTTTCAATTCATCTTTAAGCTTTATTAAGCTTCTATATTACCAAAGGAACCAAAAACAAGTCAAAAATGAAGGAATTAAAAAACTTCAATTAACTTACCTTAAACATGGAAGCATACTGTGGAAGAGAATGAGAGAAGAGAAGAGTATCTAGAATTCTCTTTTTCCTTTATCCTCGTTTCCCACATTCTTAAATAGCCTTATAAATGAATTTTTAATTCCTTTCATGACAAAAGACCACTTTGCCTCTCCAACCTTCAATCTTTAATAATAAGTCCTATATACAAATTTTCCAAATTAGTTCTTGAACTTTTCTAATTAACGAAATTAAACCACTATATTTTTATCCTTACACTTTAGTCGTTGACCCGATAATTTGGGTGTTACAAATCTCCCCCTTAAGAAAATTCGTCATCAATTTTCACTGTTCAAAGAGACAAGAAACTTGTTTCCTTAAATCCATTTCACATTTCTATGTTATTTCTTCCACTTGTTACTTCCCAAAGAACTTTATCTGAAAGATTCATTTCATTTCTTAAATATTTACTTCCTACTAAAATTCATATTGGTTCTTCTTTATGGATCAAAACAGATTAAACTTATATTCTTTCCGTGCTATTATTTGAGAAAGATCTAATCAATATTTCTTAAATATTGAAACATGAAAGACATTTAACTTTTGTCATTCCTTGAAAAACATTATTTTCCTTGAAATTCAAATTCCTTGTTCTTCAAACCCGCATATAACTTTTGTCGATCCTTATCTATCTTAAGATTATCATGAATAATATTCACTTATCTTCAACTTCTTTAATCAAATCTGGATGCACTAAGTCTCAATCTTTCAATTATAATCAACTTAATGAGGTCTCATATCTTCTTCTACGAAAGAAAAACTTCATATAAAGTTATCTTGAAAATTTCATAACTTGCAGACATGATATTCTTTTAAAATCAACTTGATGTGAACTCTTTTTCATGACATGCAACCATTCCACAGACTTTAAATCTTACATTCTCCTTTTTCTACTTATTCTATTTTTTACTACCACTAAAATTAATCTTTCTTTTACAGACCATTATATACTCAACACTTCTAAAAGTAAAAAAAAAAAAACTATCTTATAACTTTGTCATACCCATTATCATATTAACCTGCCATGTTGCAGTTAATCAACATTTCATCAATCTCCAGATAATCAGTCTATTTCTTGTCTTTACATTCCTCCACATACATTTGACTTTTGAGATCCTTATAGATATAATATCATTCCTTACGTATATAGGGTGCCCTCACAACAAAATCTACAAGTACTACTAATTTAATATTAAAATTCAGATATTTTCTTACTTAATTCTCTAATTGCTTTGCAGCAAAATTAGAACTTTTCCAAATTCTAATCATAATAACCTTGGAACTTATGTCAATATTCCTTGTGCATCTTAACATTTCTTGATACTTATCCATATATTCTTAACAGAGTCTACATGGCAACAAAATACAACCTTACAGAATCCACACTTATGCTTGCTCAATTTATTATACCATTTTTCTCCTGATCCTTTAAACTTTATCACCCATGCCTTAACTTTTAAAAGTTGGTTAACCTTATTAGACCAACCAACTACATGCGAATGGACAATAGCGCCAAAATTTTGATCAAATTACATAGACCTTGCTCAAATAATTCCAAAACCTTGAGGTTAACCAAAATCCCTTCAGATACAATTAATACTGGCACTCCACTAGTCTGACTATCTCCATAAAAAATCAAGTCGAATCCGGAATGGAATGCGTAGTCTTTATTACTTGCTCCATAATTACTTAGATTGAATCTTTTTTATTCGATGACAAAAATAACTCAATTATGAAATCTATTAAAACGCTTTCTCATTTCTACTAAGAACTGAAATTGTTTACTCTCATTCCAAATTTATTTAAAACCTTATTTCCAACATGTCAAGCTTATCAGTTACACCTCCATAAGATCCTTTATCATACTTGGTTGTCTAAATTGTTTACTTATATTCCTAAAAAAAAAATTTACTTTCCTCTACCTTCAAGGTACTATTTTTTTCTTCCAACAAACAACCAACAATCAACATAACATATCACTTTCCATATCTTTTTTATGATCCCTAAAAGTCTTAAACTTTTTCTTTATCTTACTTTTGACTTTGTAATTTGACCAACCCTTCTAGTTCCCTTCTTCAACTTCAATGCAGTCAATCCAATACTTTTTTTATCGTCTTTAAAGAAGTATAATATTTGCTAACTTTTACTCATAACTCATAAACTTTCCTTTTTCATTAAAAACTTTCTTGTAACCTAGATCATCTCTTTTTCTTATACTTCAATATTCTTTTCATATCAATAGGAGAAACGACATCTTACTAGTCTCATTAATGCTTACCAATTTTACTGGAACTACTCACTTTGATAGTTTACCCTACGTATACATAACACTATTATTATTAATCCTTACATTTCTCCGCTTCAATCTTTAAGAGCTAGATTCAAATATGTACCTAATCATTTACGATACTCTTTCTCATGAG